AAGGAAAAGGAAACCCCCCATCATAAAAAAAAAAAAAAAAAAAAAAACGAAAAGAAAGGAAAGCATAGGTTAAACGCAATCCATTGTCTGCACAGGAAGCTTGAATTGAAAAACGAAAAAAGAAACAGAAATAAACAGAAACGGAATAAATAAACAAAAAGTTAAAAAAAGAGAAGAAAAACAAATGGGTACCTCAATAAGGGTAAAGCCTCAAAGGGGTTGAGGTTGAATTGAACCCCAAACCGAAACCAAAACCGAAACCGCACCCACAATCCTTCTTCTCTCTCCTCTAAAGTTAATTACGAAAAATCGTACTATGGAATAGTAATAAGAACAGATAATGAGAGAATTAATGGCGGAAGGAGTAAGTAAATAAGGCAGGAGGAAGAATAAATGGGAGGTAGTTTCCTGAATGGATCCCTTGTTTGAGAATTCTGATATGAAAGGGAAAAAAGAACAGAGAAACAAAAAGGGAAGATAAGGGCCTGACAGAATCAAAGGTTAAAGAAAGAAAAAATCAGAGAGAGAGAAAGAGAAAGAAAACCCGCTAAAAGCACGCGGTTTAACGGAAAGCGGTGAAATCGAAACCGGCCAAGAACTGAAACGAGGCTGATTTTTGATGCGGCTCGTTGGAGCTCGTGATTCTGTGCTTCAATCCAATTCAATCCAATTCAATCCAATCCAATTCAACCTAATTCAATGCAATTCAATTCAATCAAAAAGAGTTTTCAAGTATGGTTTACCGATTCAATGGTCGGTGTTACAGGGGTGATATGTATCGTACAATGTACTCAGAAGCCTTGGATTGCAATTCAAGCAATTCGATCAGAAGAAGAGAGAAATAAAGAAGAAGGAGAAAGCATCTCTGTTTCAATTCACGGATCGAATACAAAACCTCCGAATCCCCTCTTTTTCGTTCTTATTCCCTTCTTTCTTCAAAAATCCTTCCCTTTTTTTCCCGATTTCAAAACATTTATTTTAGGCATGTTTTTTCTTTTCTTTTCTTTTTTATACATTAAGCTTATTATAAACACCTTTTTAAAACTTTAAAATATAAAATTAAAAACAAAATTACCATCCCACCCTTAATTTTATTTTAAATTATTATTTTGGCCATAAATTTTTTAGAAATTATGTTTAAAGATTCTATATATTTACCTCCTTATATTTAAATTTTTTAATTAAATTTTTAATTGAAGCTATTTTAACCCTCATAAAGTTAAAAAAGATTTAACTTATTTATAATAAAGATCTTTCCTACATTAAATTCTAATATAATTACAAAATTTAATATTTAGAGAATAAATATAAGCTAGGTTGAAAATTATGGATTTATGTTATTGTAAATAAAATTAATGTTTAAATCTAATTTTGAAAATAAAATATTTTTAATTATCGACTGTAATTTTGTTTTATTTTGACTTTGACCTAAATGTTGAAATCCATCGCTTTACTCAATTTTCAACCATAGTGAACTCGAATACAGATACATGAATGAATCGATACCGATTCAAATGAGAGTGGTCAAGCTTAAATGAAATGAAAGTTACTATATATATATATATATATCAATAAGGTGCACATTTTTTTCTCGGTGGCTCAATCATGAAAACTTCATTCATCAGAGTATGCGAGTCCTTATTTGATTCTCCGGCATAGGTCATTACAGATAATCCTAAAAAATTTGAAGATTATTTCTAGGTTGTTTTAGAAGGTTTTGATGTATATTTCATGAAAACATTGTGTAATCGAGCTTGGACCTCTTAATAAGTATAGTGTTCAAATTCGATGACCTGAAAAACTCGATCAACCCAATCGAACTTGTAGCGTTCAGGTTGGGTTATATAGGATTAGGTTCAAATATATAAAAATTTTATGGATTAAGTTGATCCATGGATTTTCGTGAAATTAAATTAATTTTAAAATATACATTTTTTTTTCTTATCATACAAATATATATACATATTTTTATTTTATTTTTTATGTATGTATTTTTTTTAATTTAGTCTCTATTTTTTAAAAGTAAAAAATTAATTTATTAAAATATTTTTCAATTATTCTTACATGGTAAATACCTTAAATAAAAGAATTATTATATATTATGTGCCTAAGCCTAAATTATATTATTACATTTAAATTTTAAAAATTTTTAATAATACCCTTAAACTTTAAAAAAGAATATAATTTTTTTAAATATGACTGGATAAATATATATATTTGGATTTTACTTTTTAAATTTAACTTTTTAACTTTTTAAATATATGAATAAACTCAAATGTGTTATTAAAGCTAACATAATTGATAATTTTTGTGGGTTCATATTTTAATGCACAAAATAGATTGATTTATGTTCTAATCGTTAAAAAAAAAATTACAAATTCGAAACAAAATAAAATAAAAAAAGTAATGGAATTTGAAAAGAAACACTACCATATTTGACGAGAAGTCAATAGGAGAAAAGTAACCTCGAGATAGAAGGTAGTTGAGGAAAAATCGGAAAACGCCATTTATGAGAACTTTATTTCCTCAACTTGCGCAAAAATAAACACGGAATCCTCCCTCCCTTATCTCCTAAACCGACGTCATTTGTGATAACTTTACTCTCTCAACTCGCGCACACAGTAAACACAAAATCCTCCCTCCCTGATCTCCTAAATCGACGTTATTTGTGAGACCTTTACTCTCTCAACTCACGCACACAGTAAACACGAAATCCTGCCTTCTAAACCATTAGTTTAATACTTAGACCTTTACTCTCTCAAACCATGCAATAATAAACACGGAATCCTCCCTCCCTGATCTCCTCAACCGACGTCATTTGTGAGAACTTTACTCTCTTAACTCGCGCACACAGTAAACACGAAACCCTCCCTCCTAAACCAGTAGTTTAATACTGAGACCTTTATTCCCTCAAACCACGTAATAATAAACACGGAATCTTTCCTCCTTGATCTCCTAAACCGACGTCATTTGTGAGAACTTTACTCACTCAACTCACGCACACTGTAACCACGAAACCCTCTCTCCTAAACCAGTAGCTTAATACTGAGAACTTTACTCCCTCAAACCACGCAATAATAAACACGGAATCCTCCTTTCCGGATCTCCTAAACCGACGTCATTTGTGATAACTTTATTCTCTCAACCTGTGCAACAATAAACACGAAATCCTCCCTCCCTGATCTCCTAAACCAGTAGTTTAATTCTGAAAACTTTACTCCCTCAACTCGCGCACACAGTAAACACGAAAATCCTCCCTCCCTGATCTCCTAAACATACGTCATTTGTGATAACTTTACTCCCTCAACCTACGCAACAATAAACACGGAATCCTCCCTCCCCAACTTAAATCGATGACATTCGTGAGAACTTTACTCCCTCAACCAACACAACAACAAACACGAGATCCTCCCTCCCTGATCTCCTAATTCAGTAGTTTAATTGATGGTCGTGGTACTCCTAGAGTATTTGTCCTTAGCTTCCTTATTTAGCTATCTACCAACTATACAAGTTTCGAGACAACGAAAATAAAAATTAATCACTATCTGTACCTAAAAAGTCCGAACTCATAATTTTTTTCCCCATAAAATATATATTGGGCCTGAAAACACAAAAGCCCAAGAAATAAACATCAGCCCAATAAATCGATATTGGGCCTGGAAACACAAAGGGCCCAATAAATAAACCTCGGCCCGCCAATTTTATTTATTTTTTATTTTTTTAATTTTAAGATATTTTTTTTTAGATAAAGAATAAAATTAAAATTAATATATATTATTTAAACTAACAAAATTTTAGCTTTAGATCCTAATGAACACGAAAAGATCGATTTATGTTGTTGATTTAAAGGTACCGAAGGGTAGAAAATATATACAAATTTGAAACGAAATAGAACAGAGGAGCAATGTAATTAGAGAAGAAACGTTACCATATTTGATGACAGGTCAATAGAAGTAAAGTAACCTCGAGAGAGAAGGTAATTGAGGAAAAATCGGTAGACGTCATTTTTTAGAACGTTACTTCCTCAACCCGCGCAATAATGAACACGAAATCCTCACTCCCTGATCTCCTAAATCAACATCATTTTGTGAGAACTTTACTCCATCAACTCGCGCAACAATAAACACGAAATCCTCCCTCCCCGATCTCCTAAATCAGTAGTTTAATTATGAGAATTTTACTCCCTCAAGAATCCTCGAGCCCTGATCTCCTAAATCTACGTCATTTATGAGAACTTTATTCCCTCAACCAGCACAACAATAAACACAGAATCCTCCCTCTCTAATTTCCTAAATCAACGTCATTTGTGAGAAGTCAACAATAAACACGAAATTCTCCCTCTCCGAGAGCACAAAAGCCCGTAAAGGAAAATACACAATTTTTTTCCCCATAAAATATATATTTGGGCCTGAAAGTACAAAAGCCCAAGAAATAAACCTCAGCCCAACAATTTGATATTGGGCCTGGAAACACAAAAGCCCAATAAATAAACCACGGCCCAACAATTTGATATTTTTTGGCACACGGGAGTTCCGACTGAAAGACATGAAATTAAACCAACCAAACGCGACATTCAACAATAGTAATGGAGATGGCGACGGAAGGGCGAATGCAGCGAAACGCTGCGTTTTGAAGCAGATCGGCTATGGCGAAGCGATGGAAGGTCTCGGTTTGTGTAGCAGCTTGATAATGGAGATGGCGTTGATGAGAAGAAGAAGACAGAGGCCAACGAAGGAGGCGATGAGCGCACCGGCGCCATGGTCACAGTAGGCGGAGAATTTGTCGCAGATCTTGTTCCATCTAGCGTGCTTATTTCCGTTCTTTCCAAGCGCCGCCATGAAAGTCGCTGCGCCGTCGCCTGCCGATGCAAGAGCCACCGTCGTCTGCCGCCATTTTGATAGATCGGTGAGTTAAAACGTTATTGGTGTTGTAGGTATAGGAATTTTGAAATTGGGATGGGGATTAGGTATGAAGATGTATTTACCATGTCTAGAATGGCGATAATGGGAAGACGGAAGCCATGGAAGCGGAAATCGGGTCCGAAGATGTCTAGGGCTATCATCAACCAGTTGTGTAGAGTGGCCACTCCATTCGCTACGACGAAGAATCTGCAACAAGTACGTACACTCTCATTTTATGTATATAAATTACTTTTATTATTATTTTCTTCATAGAATTGATATTGATTTTTGCTAAATCGTATTTATAGTTAATTAAATATCAGTTAAATAGCAAATTTAGTCTATTCATTAAATTTCATAAGCTTTTATTAATCCAAAGGTATTATTATGGAGATGTGTTGCTAAATTAATAACAATACCATTAAATTAATTATTCTTTTTGAATGAAAATAGTTTACTATCTTATTTAAAAATAGTCTACCTTCAATTTATTATTATTTTTTTTTTATAAAGACTTTAAAGCAAAAAAAATTTAAAAAATTGTTATCATCAAAATATTGATGAAAACTGTCTATCGACATCTCTTAAGATTATTTGATAAAAACTGCCTATCGACATCTCTTAAGATTATTTGATAAAAACTGCCTATCGACATCTCTTAAGATTATTTGATAAAAACTGCCTATCGACATCTCTTAAGATTATTTGATAAAAACTGCCTATCGACATCTCTTAAGATTATTTGATAAAAACTGCCTATCGACATCTCTTAAGATTTTTTGATAAAAACTGCCTATCGACACCTCTTAAGATTATTTGATAAAAACTGC